TTTTTTAATATAACTCCGATTGTATTCGTCTGAATGAAGAAAGTCATCTACATCTAGGATTTTTGGGTGAACTAACGCTTTAACTAGAGCTCCACCTGTGCCGAATTGATTGATTATCTGATCGTGCTCCTCCCGAACCTTGTTAATGAAACATCATTTAATGAACTGCACACAAACACAAGATGGTTCTTCAAAGGCATCTGCTGCAGTTTTATTACAAAAAAAAAAAAAAATTCAGAATTATTACAGTTAGATATTAAAACACAACCAGAAACTTTTTGGATTAAATTATTAAAAACAGCAGATAATAAACGCTTATTTTCAATGCTTTTTCTGCATTAAAAGCTCATTTCTGATGTGTGTGACTTTACATCACCATCTGTCATTATCTATCATGCGCTGTCATAATAAAAGTCCCGCTGTCATATATTCAAAAATAAAAGAATAAAAACAAAAAACTACCAAAGCAAAATAAAACAAACACATCAGAAACTAAATCTTAAGTAATTACACATGATGAAGAGTCAAGGTCATCATGTGAAATAATAATTATATAATACCCTCATGTGTCTCACTGGCAGGGCTGGATTGGTAATCGGGCATACCGGGCATTTTCCTGGTGGGCCGACGCACTTAAGGGTTTTGTCAAAACACATCAGAAACTCACTCAAAAACAGAATGTGAATGTGTTTGAAACAGAAACAGAATGTGTTTTGTCTCACTCAAAAACAATGTTTTTTTGTTTTTTGCCGAAAACCATCACGCAGGGACAGTGAGCAGCCAGAGGGCCATTGGTTTGTCTCCCATTGGCTTTTCCCATGTTTTCACAGCAGATTTATCAAGAACAGGCTTGCTCTGCGGTGAGTGATGCGGGCCAAAGAGCCAGGCAGGAGGAGAAGAAGAGAGTAGTTGAATTGGTAAAGTGCTTGATAGGGACTCGCAACGGAGTGTACAGTATGCGTAAACACTTTTTAATAAAATGTCAATTCGTCCCCCGCGATTTTTTTAGCCAAGTCAAGTGAAGTGTGTTCAGAGGTTTCCATGGGCCAATGCGAATAAAGCTAGATTTAAATGAAAAAAGACACGATATTGTCGGACCTGACGTTTTATTCTTATCCAAAGCAAGATGTGATACGAGTGTGATACATAGGCTACATACATACACTACCAGTCAAAATGTTTTGAACAGTAAGAAAGATCCAAAGATCAGCATTCATATGAAATAAAAAGCTTTTGTAACATTATACATATACCATTCAAAAGCTTGGCGTCAGTATTTTTATTTTATTTTTTTGGGAAATTATAGAAATTAATACTTTTATTTAGCAAGGATGCTTTAAATTGATCAAAAGTGACGATAAAGACATTTATAATGTTACAAAAAAAATTATATTTCAGATAAATGCTGTTCTTCTGAACTTTCTATTAATCAAA